TAAATTTATATAGCTTTTTTGCAATGCGATTTGACTATGTCTCCAAATGTAAATACATCTACCCTTTGACTCTGTAATCCCGTTCCTAGGAATCCATCCTAAGAGGCTCAAATGTGTACAAAAAATATGAATGAGGGTGTCCACTGCAGCATATTATGTAACTGCCACAAACTTTAAATAACTGAAATGTCTTTTGGTGAGGTGTGACCATTTAAGTGACTACTACAAACCCATTAAAAAGAATGAGACAACTATACTTGCAACTTTTCTGAAAGTTTGAAGTTGTTTGAAAACAAAAAGTTACCCACCAAAAATGCATCATGACAAATTAAGATTTTCCCCAAGAATCAAGGATAATGCAATATTAGGGAGTTTATCAATATACTTTAAATCATGACTGGAGAAAGAAAACAGGAATGAGATAGACCCAGAAGCACTAGCTTGGAAAGCCTCCCACCCTATAACAAGTGGAAAAAAGCAACTTTCAGAACAAATATAGTATAATACTATTCACATTTTTAACTAAGAGGAAAAGGAAAAAATGAAAAACTCTGAGTGAGAGAGAGAACCAAACTAGCTACGTGACTTTGGGCAAATCATTTTAACTTCTCTGTGCCTCAATTTTCCCATCAGTAAAATGAAAACAAAGCATCTGCCTCACTGGGTTGTTATGAGGACTAATGAGATAACCCTTGAAAAGTATTTAACACAGTGTCTGGTACATAATAAATGCTCAATAAATGTTATCTGTTACTATCATTTTGTCAAAGAAAAACTCAGAGGCCAAAACAACTAGAAAAGAAAAAATTTTATTTGAAAAGAAATACAAGGAAGTCCAGCCTCAAAATGACCAGCCAGCCAAATAAAAAGCACAGCACAAGTATTTAAAGGAAACAAATGCAAAATTGCCAAGGTTACCAAGTTTTACATTAATCTGTTCATGATTAAAAAGCAAAGCAGAACAGTATCTTTCTCAAAAGATTACATATCCACAAAAGAAGTGACCTGTGTTTAGGCATCCATATAGCAAAAGGCAAGGATGAAATTCTTTGCCAAGACTTAGGGGATATACTCAAGGTTTCATTATCAGAGGGATGCGGGCTAGATAGACTAACCTGTTGTTCTTGGTTTAATCTCAGGATACAAATTGCTATTTCTTTCTCATGACTGTGATACATGATGTGCTTAGTGATAATGAAAACAGGAGAAAGTGTCAGTTGTTTTCGTTTCATATTATTCATGGGAAAAAAAATCTAGAAGCAAACATACCACACTGTTATCTTTGGGAAATAGAATTGGGAGAAGAGCTTACTATTTACTGCATATGTTTCTGTAGCATTTGAATGCTTTACATGTTCACAAATTTCATTCATAATTTGTGAAAGAACTAAGAAGATCATATAAATTTTAAATATTGAAGCCATCCCTTGTTTCTTTCTAGTTCCTCCACAGCAGATGGGATAGTTTGCTTTTTAAGCTCTTCAGAAAAGGATTTATAAACCGTGCATTTTCTCTAAAAGCCATTTCTACCACTTCAGTCTGTAGCATCTGCCAGGAGACACTTAATATGCAATTCCAGTTGGGAGAGAAAAGAATTACAGCCAATGAATTGGGGAGGGGGGGTAATTAATCCTTTCCTGCTTCATTGTTAGATGATGACCCTGAAGCGCAAGCCCCACACCAGTGAAGTCCTGTAGAGTAGAAATCTGGGAGTTCTAAAATATCCCACCCTCATCCCTCCCCCCATATCCTTACATCTACCCAGCAGATTTACCCATGGGCAGCCCCTTCTTCAAGAACCAGAGGAAGAAACGGATTCATTAGAGGACTCCTGGGGAGAAAAGAGTCCACAGTTAATACTGAAAGAGGCTTTTCATCTGTTTTTCAAGCTAACCATGGACCCATTCCTGGAATGACTCAACATCTCCCTTATGAGCCCCAGAGGGATGGTGAATTGCAGAGAGGAGGGTCACATACAGGATGCCCGACTGGCAACAGGTGATGAAGGTTGGGCAGGATTTGCTCATGTCTTGCACTCAAATCCCCCTTAACCAGGCACCAGCATGACTCTTCTGACCTGCAGCAGACAAGTCAAGTGGCCTGGGTAGCCCCCATCTCACCTGTGCTCATGGGCAATGCACAGATGTAGACGCACCCTTCAACATGGCACACACTGGCTGTTCTTCCCACTTCCGTTGTCACTGCTGTTGAGAACATGAAACTGGCTTTTCATCCAAACAGCCAAGAGTTGACAATGTTTGTGGGGAGATTGGCGGGGGGTGTCTCATTATTTTTTCTCTGGTTACAGCAAAACACAAACATCACCAGAACTAATCTGAAAACTGGGTTTTCCAAGGTAGCATGATAGAATAATGATCATTTTGGGAGAGTCTGAATCTACGTAATTTTAAACTGATCATGAACTCACAATTTGGGGTTCTAGGATTCTATGCACTGACTTTGATTGTGAAGCCTCTAAAACAAAGTTTCCCAAACTTGGGTCCCCAGATTCTATTCTGTCAAGGGGTAGAGATTGATCACCTGTAATTCTGATAAGTAGCCCAGATGAGTCTATCGCACACCAAGGATCTCAGCTTTAGAAGAAGAATAAAAGAGGCAGTGGCAATTCACAATAAAAGGCAACATGTATTGAGCATATATTATGTCCTGGACCGATGCTAACCACTTTGCCTGCATTAACTCATTAGCACCTCTCATAGGAAGGAGGTGTTATTACTGTTGCTCCCAACTTACAGATGAGGACACCGAGGCTTAGAAAGCTTGGTAATTTGCTCTAATTCTCACAGCTGATAAGATGTGGAATCTGAACTCAGATCTCTCTGCGTTTAGAGCCCATACTCTGTGACACACTTCCTTGGGTTAAATCTTAAGGTGGTAAGCATCTTGACCTTGCAGGGTGTTAAGGATAGCTCTCTAGACCAAAGCTTTTCAGTCCTGAGACTGCCAAATACTGTGGCAGCAACCCAAGTATCCATCAGTGAATAAGGAGATAAACAAAATGTACTCTATCCATAAAATGGAATGTTAGCCTTAAAAAGGAAGGAAATTCTGACACATGCTACCACATGGATGAACCTTGAGGACATTACGCTCATTGAAATAAGCATAAAAAGACAAATATTCTATGACTCCACTCGTATAATGTCCCTAGCATAGTCAGATCTATAGAGACAACATAACATGCCGGTTGCCAGGGGCTGGAGGGTGGGAAGAATGAGGAGTAGGTGTTGAATTGAGTGCAGAGTTTTAGTTTGAGACGATAGATTATGGTGATGTTTGCACAGCAGCGTGAATGTACTGAGTGCCGCTGAACTGTACACCAAAAATGGTAAATCTTATGTTAGGCACATTTTACCACAATTTAAAAAAAAACTGGTGTCTGGTTCCTGCACCAGTTAAATCAGAGTCTCTGCAGAATAGGGCCCAGCTATCTGTATTTTTTAGAAATATACTATCCAAGTGTTTCTAATGGGCACCCAGAGTTAAGAACTCCAAGAATTCAGCGTACAGAATTCTGGAGCTCACCCTGCTGGCAGTCCCTGGCATCGTTGCACGTTCTCACTCTCCCATTCACACAAGAGGCCTAAAAGCAGGACTCGCTGGGAAAGGCGAATCTCCCAGCCTGTTGCTGACTAAGGTGGCCGGGTCCAAGAATTAATGGAAGGTCCTGGAAGCAGAAAGCTCTGTGGTATACTGGTGCTTCTCTGGCTTGTAATTGTCTGCATATGCCTCATTCCCCTTAAGCGTCGCCGAAGAAGGGTGATTATTACTGAAGGGCTGAGCTTTCAGGATCAAGAATAGAGTTCCCACGGAAACCTACAGTTCACGGCATGGATCAGGTCACTCTGTCCTTAACTTATAAGTGCATATTTCCGGTCTTATTTGGGCTGCAGGATGACTTTTGGGGAATTCTCAGCAATGGGAGTTACGATAAAGAGAGCTTATTAGAAGAGAGAAGAATGGCATCTGGCCTCCAGCTCAGCAGCAAGGATTCTCTGAGCACCTCTACTTTGCCTGGGACTCCAAGATGCCCTCAATGAACTCATATTCTTTAGGGAAACGGATGTATTCATTCAGCCAATACTTACTTCTTGAGTCCCTGCAATGGCCCAGACATTGCTCAAAGGGGCACAGAATCTGATTCTGGGCCTTTGCACAAGGATAATCTGCTGAGCCCAGTGATACCCTGCAGTTGCTGGATCATGGGGAAGCCTGGGGGAACTCAGAGGAGAGGCCAGGATGGCTGGGACACTGGGGACGGGTAGCTGCTGTTTACCAACCAGTACGAAAGTATTCCAATATTTTAACAGCTGGGAAAGCTGTATGAGTGGGTGCCAGATGAATGGCAGCTTGGCTTGGGCAAAGAGGTGAACAGTTCAGCCAATGTCTCTGACCTTCTTGTGTAGGAACGGGCAATCTTTTTCTGTCGTAGACCAACTAGTAAATATTTTAGGATTTTGTAGACAGTATGCTCTCTGTCCCAGCTACTCAACTCCATCGTTGTAACATAAAAGCAGCTACAGACAGTAGTAAACAAGTGGTTGTGACTGCATTCCATACAGACTTTGTTTATAAAAACAGCAGGCTGGATTTGGCCTATGGGCCATAGTTTGCAAACCCCTCTTCTAGTGGATGAGACAGATATACCCATTCATCCTTTCATCATACAAATATTTATCGCGCATCTTCTACATGACAAATATTGCACTGGGCACTGGTATACTGTGCTGAACAAGTTGGAATGGTCCCTGCCCACAAAGCACTTAATGGGAGAGGCCAAATCAGTCTGTTCAATATGCTACGGTAAATATTAAGATGAAAGTAATCAGGAAATACAGAAGAGGAAGTTAACTCAGACTGGGAGTTCAGGGAAGACTTCCTGGAGGAAGTGGTAACCGTGCCACCTGCTCAGATCAGCCTGGGAAGCCATATCTTTCCCTGTGGGTTGTCATCACCAGCTCTTCCCTTGTGTCCTCCAGTCTCTGAACAGCTACAATGATGGAGACATCGAAGGATCCAAGCGGCTTGGGAGGAATGCCAAGTGGGTGGCCTTCGCCTCCATCATTATTGGCCTTCTCATCATTGCTATTTCTTGTGCAGTTCACTTCGCACGAAAGTAAGTAGGCTTTTTTAATCCCTCCCAATGTAAAATGTCTTTTCTTTTTTGTTTTTTTTTTTTTAATTTATATATTTGGCTGCACCAGGTCTTAGTTGCAGCACGTGGGATTTTTAGCTGCGGCACGTGGGATCTTTTAGTTGCAGCATGCAGGATCTTTAGTTATGGCATGT